TAGTAGCTCAGGCCTATAATCCTAGCTTCTTAGGAGGCTGATATGTTTTTCTTCCATTCTATCTGTGTGTGTGTGTGTGTGTGTGTGTGTGTGTGTGTACATATATATATTTTTTAAGAAAACTGCTGATAACATGTGGAATTAAAAAAGCTCTACACAACTATTCAGAGAAACTGAAAAATTAAAATAAATTTAAAAAGAAAATGACTGAAGCAATTTGAAATTCATGCACCTAAAATACTTTCTATTGCTGTGCTTTACCACTAAGGTCTCGGAGTTGACTCTTCTTATAATAAAGAGCACAATATCTATGAAATGATTTTTGAGTAATGTTTTCTGGAGAAATTCAGCAAGAAAGTAACTCATTCATCAACACATACAGTGTGAAAACACAATAAAATCAACTAAAGAAGCTAGACAAATAATCCTAACTACTCAGGAGGCTAAAATTTGAAGGATCTCAGTTGAAGTCAGCCAAGGCAGAAAAGTCTATGGAACTTCATTGCCAAAATAACAAGCAAAAGGCCAGGCTGTAAGTATGGTAGAGTGCAGTCAAGCAAGGAAGTTAAACAAGCAAGAGAACCTGAGTTCAAATTTCAATATTCACCAAAAAGAAAAAAAAACATGGTGAAACAATGAGCCCAAAATAATTTCCTTTCTTTTTTCTTTTCTCTCTTTTTAATATCTACATTTGTTAAAGGAACAGTGTTAAAAACAATCATTCACAATTAAATACTAAGAAGGATTTTCATATATTCAAGACAAGAGAAAAGATGACTGACAACATGAAAAGTCCTTAAGAACAAAATTTTCAATTAGATATAAATAGACTTCCAAATTCTATAAAACATAAAAGGAAATAAAATATCTCTCCTCAATTATATTTGTAGTTATTTATTATTGCAATTTTATAAAATTTTACTTGCCACTCATTCCAAATCACTTATTTACATAATTATTATTTCTAGATTGAGGAAGATGTATATTTGACTTAAAGTTGAAATATATTATAACTTATAATTACCAACATATACAAACCTGGAATTCTCGAAGAAGAGTAGATATATTGGCTTCATTTGCCAAGTTTGTCAAAATTTCAAGCTATAGTTGAAAAAAGAGAAAACAAACATTTTAAAACAAAAATAAAAAGATGAATTTAATAAAGGATGGGCATTTAGTTAAAAGTTAATTTGTATTTTTTTTTTAAATCATTCTGTCACAAATGTGGTGAAGAAGTATAAATCCTTCAGGTGAATTTAGTTTGTCTCCTTCTGTGTACAAATCAAGGTTAGATAATTACACAGTTCTTAGAAAATAATTAGGAAAAGAGAATCTCACATCGTCACTAATTGTTCCATCTTTATATCTAATTAACCTAAACCATTTAAATTAGTTTGACTTTTAATTTTTATTAATAAAGTTGGAAAACAATTTGCCTCCTATGTAATATGAGGCAACAATTGTTTTTCAGACAACAATTAACTCTCTAGATTTGTTCTTCTATATCCTGCCTTCCCAAACAGACATTTTAATCCTCTCTCTGGATTTACAGATATAAATCAACTAACATGCTAAAAGTATTTGTTTTTACACATAAAAATGTTTGACTAACCGAAAGGAGGGCATAAAAAGGGGGGAAATAGAACAGAATAGCATTAACAGAAAAACAATGATGTAGACATAAATGTATTCATATAAAGAAGTACATTAAAAGTAAATGATCTAAACATTACAACAGGCACAGATTGTAGAATGTTTTACATACTATTCTATATATGTCATTTATTCAGATGTATGTGCTGGGAATATTTTCTCTGAGATTATGGTTTGAATTTTCATTTTGATAAAAATAGTTTTAACCTTTTGATCAATATCTGTAATACATCTAAAACATAACAAAAATTACATATATAGTACAACAAATTCCTTTTTCTCTAACCCATTTGGGACTAGAATTGCCCATCTCGTGAGTGTTTCTTATAAGGACAGGTCTTTACAGACTACAATACAACCAAGAAAATCAGGAAATTAATACTAATATATTACTTCTATGCAATTGTTACTATACATTTAGGTTTCTGTACCTGTTTCAACAATGCCTAATAAAAGGATCTAACTCAATATCATATATAGTATTTAAGCATTTCCTTCCATGTGAAACAGTTCTTCAGTCCATGTTTTAATTTTCATGAACTTGAAACTTTTCATGATTACAAACCAGATCTTTTTCAGTAAAAATCCTCCAATCTGTGTCTTAGATTTTCTTTTAAACCCAGTTTCCATGTGAATAACATTTTCAGTATTTAGTGAATACTATTTTTTCTCATCAATTTATGTCTCATATAGTACACTATGTAGTGTATGTTCATATTCATAAGTGAGTTTCTAGGCTTTCATTCTATTTTACTTGTTTTTCTGTCTAAATATCATGTTGTTAGCTTTACATTCCTAACTGTACTCTATAACACTTATTTTCTAATAATACTCTTTCATAATATATTGTGCTAACAAAACTACTTTCAAGGTGGTAGCACCAGCCAGTAATCTGAGAATTCAGAAGGCAGGAAAATAATACATCCAAGGCCATTGTGGAGTACATGACTTTGTTCTACCTGCATTGGGGAAAAAATAAGCAAACAAAAAATAAAAACTCCTGCTTTTATCTCATTCTAACCCTTCATTACTGCCAATCCACCTACTAGTCACAAGCAAGTAAATGAACAAACAAAATCACAAAAAGATATTCTAAGATCAACTGAAATACCATTTTCCCAAATTCCCCAGACAGCTAACCCTTTCTATTTATCACTGCACTAAAATCTCTATTATCATTTAAGCATACAGGATTAAGATTCATCTATTTATACAATTATTTTCTTCAGTACGGCTGTAAGTTATTCAAGATGTACGTAGATGTCTTAATTTTGTATCAACTGAATGTAACATAGTAATAAACACATAGAAAGCATATCCTAAAAAGAGAAAAGAAAGCATATTCTTAAATGCATATTTTCTGAAAGTAAGGCCCACCTGTATAGATGGCACAAGCTATAGCAATCTCTACAAGTACTAAAAAGTATCAGAAAAATGAAAGCATAACATACCTTTAGTGTTTTGATCATAGTTGGATCAGTTGACCTAACATAGAAACTCTTCAGATAAGGCTCAAACATACCCTAGGATAATAAAAATAAATACATAAATACATTTATAATACTAATGTGTTCATTTACTTCTTTAATTATATATTCATAATGTACATACCTTTCTTTGAATTGACATAGTTGCTATATTTTGTAGGACAATATATTGCACTTCCCTAGAATTAAAAGATAATTTTCACTAGGTATGTTTTCCAATGAAGCATCTTTGAATAAGCAGCACAAATACGAAAAAGAAAGCAGCAATAAATTTCATAGTGAAGAAAACTCTTATATAGTATTCAAAGATTTTAGTGACTGTTAGGTATTTATGCGTTCTTTTAAAAGTAGATTTTCTAGCCAGGTACTGGTAGATCCTGCCTGTAATCCTAACCACTCAGGAGGCTGCGATCAGAGCATAGTGCTTTGAAGCTATGAGACTCTTAACTCAAAATAACCACCTGAAAACTGGAAGTGGTGTTGTGGCTCAAAAAGTGGTAGAGCACTAGTCTTGAGGACAAAAGCTTACGGGCAGCCCCAAGGTTCTGAGCTCAAGCCCCACAACTGTTTTTTGTCATTAGGAAGAGTTAAAATCAATTTTATAGTACTATATTCCTAAATCACAAAGCCAATGTTGTAGGTGCTTTAAACACATACAAGGAAGATATTCTTAGGGTTAATGAACTAAACTTGACCAAATAGTTAGCATAAATTCTAGTTATAAAATTCATATATCACTCTATCATGTCGCAGAATAAAAGCTAGGTTGACAATCAGTCATGTTATTTTTAAATTTAAATATCTAGAAATGAACTAAATCTGATATAAGACCTCATGTAAAAAACACATTTACATCTTTACAATATTCTTTGAACTAGCTATTTAAAAAATTATTAAACTGGTTTAAAAAAAAGGAATGGCTAGGTATAAAGCGGGAGAATGGGAACACATAAGAAGTGTTCTAAGTGTACTAAACTAACTTGTTTAGAAAGGATGGCAAATCCAGTCAAAGGGTAAAGTTGAGGATGAAGTTCTAGTTAAAGACAAAAACATACCTTTCTGATAGTCAGGTTTGTAAAGATATACACTCAAAAAATTAATTCAAATGAACTAAATATTGTAAAATACTCAGGGCCAGCTAAATAGTTGAAACAAAGGTATTCCATATGTGTGTGTGTGTGTGTGTGAGAGAGAGAGAGAGAGAGAGAAAGAGGGAGAGAGTGAGAGAGAGAAAGAACATGCGCATGCACACATCTAATACTAGAACTTGAACATAGAGCCTGGACTCTGTCTCAGAGCATTCTTCGCTCAAAGCTAACATTCTACCACTTTAACAGCTCCACTTCTGACCTTTTGCTCATTAATTGGAGTTAAGAGTCTCACAGACTTTCTAGCCTTGTCTTTGAACTGTAATCCTTAGATCTTAGCCTCATGAGTATCTATGATTACAAGCATGAGCCATCAGCACCTGGCTCAAAGGTATTCCTTTTTCTTCCTTATTATTATTAAGTAGTTGTATTAAGTAGTTATGGTATTCTTAAACACAGGAAGAACAAAAAAAAATCTTCTCTTAGGCTTAAAATTAGGGCTGGAGCTATGGCTCAAAGTGGTATAGTGCCTGCCTAGCAGACCTAAGGCCCTGAATACAAACAACAGTACCCCATAAGACAAAAATTATATAATATGGGAACTTTAAATAAATGTTTTAAATTGTTGGCCTAGCAGTCTAGATTATAAGGTGCTAAAATTTAAAAAGAGAAGACAAGCTGTATCTGCCTATCTATTCATCATCCGTCCATCCGTCCATCCATCCATCCATCCATCCATCCATCCATCCATCCATCCATCCATTCATCCATCTACCTATCTTAACTACAGGAACTAAAGAATTTTACATTCTTTAGTTATTTTAAATGAGTAATAAAATACAGCTCTGTTTTAAAAGTAGTCCCACTATAAAAATTAAATATTCCAACTTCATAAGAAATATAATTTGGGCTGGGAAGGTGGCTCAGTGGTAGAGTGCTTGTCTTGCATGCATGAGGCCCTGGGTTCAGATTCCTCAGCACCACCTAAGCAGTGGAATTAAAGCCGGAAGTGGCGCTGTGGCTCAAGTGGTAGAGCGCTAGCCTTGAGCTGAAGAGCTGAGGGACAGCGCCCAGGCCCAGAGTTCAGACCCCACGACCGGACCCATAAAACAAAACAAAAAAAAAGAAATAATAATTCAACTATGAACTATATAATGTAGTTTCTAAACTATAAAAATCTAGGCACATGGTGATGACTTAAACAGTATTCTATAAAATAATTTAATCTCCTTGCACTTGAGATTAAAGTCTTTGAATATCTGTCATTAAGATTGAGATCAAGTCTTTGAATATCTGTCATTAAGACTGAGATCAATTTTATAAAGGATCTTATGATCATCATATTAAGTACTGATAAAATATAGTCAGAGGGTAGGGCACCAGTGGCTCACACCTGTAATCCTAGCTGAGATCTAAGGAGATCCTAGCTGAGATCTAAGGAGATCCTAGCTGAGATCTAAGGATCGCAGTTCAAAGCCAGTCCAAGCAGGAAAGTTCGTGGACTCTTATCTTCAATAAACCACTAGAAAATCAGAAATGGTGTTGTGGCTCAAGCAGTACTCACCTTGAGCTGAAGAGCACAGGGACAGTGCCCAAGCCCAGAGTTCAAGCCCCACAACTGACCAATATATATAATATATATATAGTCAGAGGTAGGTATTACATACAAGACATATTATATTTGTTCAAATACTTATGAAATACAAAAGAAAAATATATATAAAACCATGACCTACCTATTGCTACGAAGTAAGCGCACTAGGGATTTAGAAATAATGCCAGCTTCTGACTTTGGTGATATGTGCCAGTACAGCTGAGCAACTGCCATCACCACCTGAATGTGAAGCATGAAAATAATAGGAGCAATGAATGTTCAAGCACTCTACAGTTTCAAAATACATTCCCACACATTACTTCCTTGAAATGTGAACAAATGCCTGTGAAGCAAAATAAACTATGTAATTCTGTAATGAAGAGGTTTCCCCTATCCTTAAATTCTTGTCTGGTGTCGGAGAGGATATGTTATAGTAACAGAGAAAAAGGAATTGTGAAGGTGAAGGAATCACAAAAGTGATGCATCTAACAAGCTTCATTTGTTGGAAATGCCAAGGATTACCAGGATAGAGAAGCAGTTTCTCCCATAAGGCTTCCATAGAAAGTAACTCTCCTTACACCTGGATTTTAAACTTCCACTTTCTGAAATTGTAGAGAATACATTTCTGTAGTTTTAATCCAGTAAGTTTGTGGCAATTTTGTCTACCAGTGCTAAGAAACTAGTCCTAAAAATTAGACATTAAATGAACTGTTCAAGGTGTGCCAGAAGCATAGGGCAATATACACAAGACTCAGGATTCTATGATTTTCCTAGCACTGCTGCTACTCTGAGTATGATTTTTTTTTTCAGAATTAAGGCATTCTAAATGAAGTCAGATGCATCAGGATTAACAATAAGAAGTAGATAAAAAAATTATTTTTTTGAGGGGGGGGTCCGGTTGTGGGGCCTGAACTCTGGGCCTGGGCACTGTCCCTCAGCTCTTCAGCTCAAGGCTAGCACTCTACCACTTGAGCCACAGCG